AAAAAAAAAACAAGAACAGATGTTACCTCAGCTATTCCTCTATTCAAAGTTTTAGTAGCTTCATTGGCCCCCTTTTTAAGCTGCTTGTAGTTCATAGCCTGCTGAACAAGGTCCAGAAGCTTCTGTGAAAGTTGGGTGTCAGCGAGTGGATAGGCCTTCGGATTGACTCCATCATCGGCCATTTTTTCAACCTTTATCTAAAAAACATATAAAAACCATCAGATAGTTAGTTCACGATAAATATAGACGACAGTTAGAATGGATTATGAAAGAGTGAATTCCTAATTTAAAGATAAACCTCCTAACTTTGAGAAAATACTTCGCTACGAAATTTCCTATTTTCCACGCAGAACCAAGTGACTGGAACGCATACACAGTTATGAAATTCAATTACAAACTACTTGACACCGCGATATGTTGAAATACGAACTTCGTAAAATATATACTATTTTAAATTATTATTATTCCAGATTGCACCTTGATTGAATTTTGATAATTTTCCAACATAATAATCATTAATATCAATGACTTTACTTCAACTATTATCACCTTACTGAGAAAATTTTTTTACAAATTTCTCGCAAAACTTTCCAAAAAACCTAACAAATCTGATATGTGGCATTCTATGTACCACTATATTAAACTCATCTTCTTCTTTTTCGTTTGAATTTCTACGGGCATTCATTAGGTCCGCACCCCATTCTGAAGATTGAAGTATGCGGAGCAGTGGGTGGAGGTTAGTTTCCTACAGTACGCCTAATTTCGTAGCGGCGGGCTTTCGGAACTCCTGGGCCCGTCCTTCCCCCCTCCCCTCCATAATCCCACACAATTCCTAGTTTGACAGATTTCGTCGCTTAATTAGTAATTTATAAGCAAGGACCAGCCCGAGGAAGCTTGCACAATTCTCCCATGTTGAGGTTACGCAAGCAAAGGCGGCCACCCTTGGATGGAGGATGCTGCTTGCTCTTCAAAGCCTTTATAGATATCTCAGGCAAACAAAACGATTTTGAGAAGAAAATATAGGCAGTTTTCCTACACGTGAAGATATTGGAAGCTTAGCAGGATTATCGAAAGAGTCACCTGTGCCTGTGATCTGAAGGTACCCAATCCTCCTCGTCCATTACTAATGGCTTTGTTCACCTATTGGATTAGGGAAAATCAATATTACTGAAGTATGAACAATCGACACGAGACGGCGACAAGAAATTATCGACATTTTCGGAGATAGCTTCAGATTATTTTAAGTTTCTCCGAGCACATTGAATTACCTTAATATCAACCTTTTTCAATGTAAAACTTCAAATTCCTGTCCTTCCTAATTCCTCTCAAACTGTATGAGCATATCTAAACAATACTATTGGCTTGATAAGCCAGATTCTTGGACAACAGAGCTCCATGTCAGTTTCCCCAATGCTCTCCAAAGTGTGGTATCCCCTTTTTATAGAATAAACGAATCAAATACAGTAGCATTACGAAAACAGCCGAGAAGTTTCTTTGCTGCACAACAATGCTGTCGCTTTCTTGAAATACTGTCGACTTCTCGGAATGCTGTCGACAAAGAAATCAACAACTGCCACACAATAGTTCCTCCTGCGCTCAAACCTCTATCAAAGCATTTCCACTGACTCGCAACCTCTCTATACATAAAACTCGCAGTCCCTATATAATAAACCCCAATAAAACGAAAAACAGATAAACAGAACTCCTAAATGTTAATAAGAAAAATCACATCAAGGAAAATCAACGAAACGAGGAAGCCTGCGAGAGCTCGTCCAAGAGTGGGTCCTAGGACGCTTTTCATACTGTAACATATTTTCGAACGAACGAAATTTTCCGAACTCCAAATTTTTTCGGTTTGAGCTTGGCATACCTTACTTCGTGATTCGTTAGTTGTAAAGCGCACGGCTTACTTTGAAAAAACTTTTTAGAAGATGGGAGCCGATGACAAGAGGGATCGGATCAAAGTTCTTCAGGTGTCAAATATATCAGTAACTGCGACAAAGGATCAGATCTTTACTATGTTTCAGTATGTAGGAAGAATCGAAGAGATGAAGGTGAGTGTTGCTATATGATGACATTCGATTTGAACGCACAGAAGTGGGGTAATTTGTTCAAAAGGAAGGAGTCCATTCTCATGTGAATAGAAATGGGAGGCTTAGCGCATTGTGAGGGATTTTGAATTGGATACGTTAAAATAAGTAGTCAGAGTGTCATGAATTTCGTGGCTAACGAGTACAAAACTATTGGATTATGGGCGTTTGATAACTGTGATTGTTCAGTGTTAGAGGTTTCATATTATATTCCATCTTCCTGCTCTTTCATGCTCATCCGTCCATTTGGCGTACTCGTAAAAAATCTGACAAATTGTTTAGTATGTGGGTATCGGTTCTCCCGTGTTGGCCCAAGGACACATATAAGACGAAGTGGTTTCAAAGTTTGAAACGCTAATCAAATGTGCCTTCATTGTCTGCGACACTTTTTCTGAGCAAAGTGATGGACGTTTTTTTTCGGCTAAAAATCTCCTATGAAAATGTAACTACGTATTAAACAGCGTTTGGTACAAGAGGTTCCATGCTAAGCTTGCAGTGAATCCTAAAATCGTTTTTTTTT